TAAAATATTAAAAAAATGAAAATGTTTGACAACTGAAACAAAAATTGTAACATCATTCAATATGGTCCTCAACATGGGAAGAGTAAACACCCAAGACAACTAAAAGAATAGTGAGCGTAAAGGGACCTAATAGAACTAAGGTTTCTACATTGCACTTAACTGGTAAATGTTGTTGAGAGGAGACTGTGATAAATTGCACATGTACATTTTAATACCTAGAGCAACGACTTAAAAATAAAAAGGAAAAAAGAAATATACCCCCAAACCACTATATGTGAATCAAAGCTGAATTCTAAAATATGTCCAGGGAACTAAAAGAAGGCAAGGAACCCTTTGCCCACCCCCACAAATACCAAAACAGCAAAACAGGAACAAGAAACGGGAAAAATTAAAAATCGAAGAAGAAAAATGACATTTAGTCCCAACATGTCAGTAACGACTTCAAGTATAAATGGTCTAACATGCCAATTAAAAGACACACTGTCAAAGTGGTAGGGGAAAAAATGCAGGATCCCTCGTATGCTACCCACAAAAAATTTACCTCAAATGTAACAATATAGGTACGTTAAAATAAAAGAGATGCACAAATATAAACCATATAAATAGTAATAAAAGTCCAGCAGTGGCTATGTTAATACCAGATAAAGTATACTTCACAGCCATGAAAATTAACAGGGACAAAGAGGGATATTAGTTACATAATGATACAAGGGTCAACATACCAAAAAAGATAGAGCCATCATAAACGTATATGCACCAAACAAGAAAACATTCCAACACACAAAGCAAAAGGTAACAGAACAGAAAGAAAGAGACAATTCCACAATTATAGTTGAGGATTTCAATGCTCCTTGTTCAGTGACTGATAGAAACACTAGGCACAAAATCAGCAAGGATATGGAAAATCTGAGTAACACCAATAACCAGCAGAATCTCACATTTATAGAACACTCCACCCAACAACAGCAGAATATATCTGTATCTGTATCTATATCTATAGCTACCTATCTTTTTCAAGCACCCATGGAACATCTTTTTCAAGCACCCATGGAACATTTAACAAGAATGTTGTTTATGGCTCATCTGTTTGTGGGTCATAAAATACACCTCAACAAATGTAAATGTTCTGAAATCACTCAGACCACATATGAAACTAGAAAGAACAGAAAAATAATAAAATATTCCAAACACTTGGGTATTAACAAGCACCCTTCTAAATAATCCATTGGTCACAGAGGAAGTATCCAATAGAATCAAGAATTATTTAAACTGAATGAAAGTGAATTCAAAACATATGAAAATTTCTGGGCTGGAACTCCAACAGTGATGCGGGAAATTCACAGAACCAAAGGCTTCTTACATTAAAAAAGAAAAAACGGGCGCCTGGGTGGCGCAGTCGGTTAGGCGTCCGACTTCAGCCAGGTCACGATCTCGCGGTCCGTGAGTTTGAGCCCCGCGTCAGGCTCTGGGCTGATGGCTCAGAGCCTGGAGCCTGTTTCAGATTCTGTGTCTCCCTCTCTCTCTGCCCCTCCCCCGTTCATGCTCTGTCTCTCTCTGTCCCAAAAATAAATAAACGTTGAAAAAAAAATTTAAAAAAAAAATAAAATAAATAAAAGAGACAAACCAAAAAATAGACTCTCAATTATAGACAACAAACAGATAGTTAACAGAGGGAAGGTGGTTGGGAAGGATGTATTAGGTGAAAGGGATTAAGAGTACACTTATCTCCAGGAATGAGTAATATACAGAACTGCTGAGTCACTATATTGTACGCCTGAAACTAATATA